CGTAGGAATTTTGACTAATGATACGAATTCGGTAATACAGATTACATAAGGGCAAATTTTCATCTATATGGATTGATTGGTTATTTATACGATATAAAGGATTCACAAAAAATAAGATTACGCTATGAATATATATAAAATGCGGATATTCTGTTTGTTTTAGATCTAAAATAAAGGTCCAAAATGAACTTTTATCACAATGGATAATCTGAATTCAAAAGTTTGAAAGCAATTATGCAAAATTGAAACAGATCACTTGCATCAAATTCAGTTGCTTTAGAATCATCATCTGTTTGATTATTGTTTAGTTGTTGCATTATTATTATTTGTGTATCTAATAAAATTGATTAATATAAACATGATTAATATTAGCTCATATCTAAAATAAATAATATATATCGTCTCAATACAATATATTTTCTCACCTGTAATTATATTGTTACTTAATTTCATACGTTGTAAAGTTAATGCTTTACTAATTAATAGATTTAATGATCGACTAGAATATATTGCTTGATCATTTATTTTGGTTGATACAAAACTTGTATCTTTATTTTCCGGAAATTTTATTTCTCCTCTTTCTGCTTTTTTAATAAGCTCTTTAAGGTTGAAATCAATACTATTATTATTATGCCATCTTTTTTCTGGATCTGAATGCCAGCAACTTTCCATTAATTTAACTAAATCTTGTGGAAAATTGGCTGGAATCTTTGGACAAAGACCATTAAGAATATCCAGAATAAGGTATTCATCATGCTTACGATCAGAAAATGGCCTGTAGCCACTTATTACCTCCCAAATAATCATACCAAAACTATAGTAATCCGAATCTTGTGTAAACTTTCCTCCTTTTAGCACCTCTGGTGCAATATATAGAATAATTCCATAAATTGAACTATTATCTAACGATTCATCTGCAGGTTTGCTTATTCCTAAATCTGCAATCGTTGGTTCACTATTCTGGTTAATAAGAATATTGCCACTATGAAGATCACAATAAATGATTCGACTTCTGTGTACTAATTCAAGTCCATCTGAAATTCTATTTAATAGTCTTAATTTTTTTAGCCAAGACAAGGCATTTATATTTTTATTTAAATGATAATGTAAGTCTCTATTCTGTGCAAATTTTACAACTATTATATAATTCTTTGTTTGAGGATATTGTGTAATGCCAAGATACTGATGAATAGTTTTATGATACTTAGGAGAACCATCATTTTTTTTACAGCGAAAAAAAACTTTCAACTAAAATTACAAACAAAATAAAATAAGGTTTTAAATTTAACGTAAATATAATCACACAAATATAAATTACATATGTATATACCTCATTTAAATAAGCAGAATCCATTTTTTCAGAATTATTAAGAATTTTAAGAACAACATCATAATTTTCTTTTCGATTGTATCTTTGCTTCTTAGGATTCCAACGAGTAATGGGTTCATCAATCCATTTTGCTTTATGTATTACACTAAATCCTCCTTTAGCAAGGTATTCAATATTAGTAAATTGTTTATATGGAATATATTCTAATTTTAAAGAATGTTTACAATTTTGAATAAAAGTTTGTGTTGATTCAATAAAATTGTCTATTAATTTATTGCTACTTAAGGCTCGTAATGAGGCCCGATAACAATCTTTACATTGATTGGAATTTTCATCATAATGAATTTTTCTAATATTACATTTCTTGCATTTTGGATTTCTTTTATATCTAGAAACAAGTGAAACTGGATGTTCATTTTTTTTGACTGATTTTACATTAAATTGTTGCTGTAATGTGTTAATTTGTTCATCACAAGGTTGAGTAATTCCTGCACCATAAATATTTGGCAAAGTTGTATTAGTTTGATCTTTTTGACTTATGCCTGTGGATGATTCTATAGTCAAATTATTGTAAATATTTAGTGAACTTGCGTTAGCTTGATTTTGTGTAAAAACAGCATTCCATTCGATAAACAGAATGTTATTCGTAAACCCTGTGGACCATTCTATAGGTAGATTATTATTAGTTGATCCTGGCTAAAACCTGCGGACCATTCTATTGATGGATTCTTATAAATATTTGGTAAACTTGTATTAGTTGAATCTCGAGTCAAGTCCAAAGACCATTCTGTAGATAAACTATTATTAGTTTGATCTTCATGACTTTGAGTAAAGCTTGCGGACCTATCTATGAATGGACTATCATAAATATTTAGCAAATTTATATTAGTTTGATTTTGAGCAAAGCCTACAGTCCTTTCCATAGATAGATTATAATTAATATTTGGCGAGCTTTCTTCGTTATACATTATACAGCTAATTAAAATGCGTTATTAATAGAATTAAATTGGATTTTTTATTGTGTAATTCGAATTCAGATAATTTATATAAAATTCGTATTTCAATATGGAATATTCGAATTTTTGCAGATCATTCCATAATTAAGCATTACAAATTCGAGAATTCTGTATTAATCTTCTATGATCTAAACACAGAAAATGATCGACAAAAAATACCAGGAATGTAGTGAAACAGAGTGTATGGTTTACTAAAGGATGAAATGGAAGCAAAATCTTAAATCTGATTGGATTATAATGTATGCTAATACAAG